TGAGGCTCTGTCTCAAAAAAAAAAAAAAAAAAAGAAGAAGCCAAGGAGACAACTGATGTCTTCCTTACAAAACCTAAAATGTTGAAAGAGAAATGGCACCCGACTTTCCTCCTGTAGCTGCTCACTGATTCTGCCATTTGCTTGCAGTCTGCCACAAGTCCTGTGTGGGCTGCTGGGGCCCGATGGAGAAGCACTGCCGGTCCTGCAGAGACCCCCTGCACGTGCTGTGGGATGGGAGCTGCCACAGCAGCTGTGGTGAAGGCTACTACAACAGGCAGGGCACCTGCAGCGGTGAGTGCCAGGCGGGGACACTGGGGCTCTCCCACCCCTGGTTGTGTTTGGATCGTACCACCGATTACCACCGTTTCTTATACATGAATAGCTACTGACACTGGTGTGTTTTACAAATGGATAAAACACTTTCCACCAGTGGAATCTCCTTCCATGGCCCTGACAGCTTGTTGGGTCCAGGTGCTCTTTGCCTCATCCTGCAGATGAAGACCCACACCTGGAGGGGAGGTGGGGAGCCCTGGGGGGAGGGGGGGACGGAGGGGGTCCACTTGGGCCTGCCTCTCTCCAAATCCCAAACTCCCCATCAGTGTCAGGCTGCCTTCCAAACACAGATTGAGACACAGAGACTCTTAGGCCGCTGCCACCCCAAAGGCAGGGTACCACTGACTAAGCTGAGCGGTGACTGTCCGTTCTGCGCTTAACACCCATGGCTGTGACGTGAGAACGAGCCCAGCCTGGTGCTTTCTTGTACCAGGCACCGTTCCAAGTGCTTTATAAACATTAACCCACTGAGAGGCAGGGGAGGCAGGAGGAAATACATAGCTTTGGGCAAGTTTCTTAATCTCTCTGCATGTTGGTCCCACTTGTAAAATGAGGATACAGTACCACCTGTGGTAGACAGAACACTGGGCCCGCAGCGATGTCCTTGTCCTAATCACTAGAACTTGTGAGTGTGGGACTTTGGATGGCAAAATAAATAAATAAAATAAACAAATAAAAAACATAACAACAACAAAACTTTGTATGTCTGATGAAGCTGCAGTGGGGTTACTATCCTAGGTTATCTGGGTGCACCCTATGTCATCACAAGGGTCCTCGTATGAGGGAGGCAGAAAAGCAGAAGTGAGGATGGGGCCAGAGCCCAAGTGCTGGGGCTGTGAGCATGCAGGCAGCCTCTAGAATCTGGAAAAGGCACGGCAAGGAATCCCCTGCTGGAGCTTCCAGGGGGAACGCAGTGGGCTGGCACCTTGATTTTGGGACTTCTGGCCTCTAGAACTGCAAGAGTAAATGCATGTCATTTTCAACCACAGAGTTTATGATTGTTACAGCAGCAGCAGGAAACTAGTAAGTGTCCCAACTCAAAAGCCTGCAAAGAGGATGGAGTTACACGAGAGAGCACTCAGAGCAGGGGTTAGGTCAGTGTTTGGTGTTTAATTGGCACAGCAGTGTCATGAGGTTGCTATTAGCGTTTCATTGTCCGGATGAGGACACAGAGAGGGTAAGAAACTGGCCTAAGGTCACACAGCTAGTAAGGAGCAGGGTTGGGATTCAAGCTTAGCTCTTCTGGCTATAGATCCTCACTGCCAGGAGCCACCCTCGGCGGCCTGCAGTGGACGGCCTCGGGCACCTCTGCCTGTTTTTCCTCTTTTCCTTCTCGTTATCCTTCCCCTTTCCTTTCTCCTCCTTCTTCCTTTCTTCTTGTCAGTCTCTGGCTGAGCTGGCCAGCTTTGAGGACACTGCCAGATCCCCAGGTGGGCATCTTGACAGCAGTGGAAGGTTGGACTGAGTTCACTGAGATGGTCAGAGCTCGAGAAAGGCCACGATGTCTTTCTCTTTCATAAGTAAGTCCATTCAATCCATAAAAATGTGCAGCCCATAAAACTCTCTTGAGTTATTTTCCTCATTTTGTTCACTGAGCAGGGCAACAGCCCAAGTGAGCTGATCTTTGGGACTTGACAGATCCACTTGTCTCGGGAAAGAGCGATGGGTCCTGGCGGCTGCTCGCTCCCAGCTGTGCAGGGGTCCCGCAGCATCGCTGCTCTGAGAATCTCTTCTTGGTGCGGATGAGTCACAGGTGGCTTTTGTGTGGATTCGAGAGAGAACAAGGCAAGAAAGGCCAGGCTGCCATTAGCCTGAGCATGTTAATCTTTTCCTGCCAGCATCACTTTCCTGCTCAATTAAGCCAGATGTATTCTTTAAAGGTCGACAGATGTCAAATTTGCACTAATCCTGGGACCTACAGGCGTTTACCCTTTAAGTCCTTGAGGCAGCTGGTTACTGTCAGTGATGGAGGAGTGCTGACACCACTCTGACATTTTCTGGATTGAGAAAGCAACTTTTGCTGGGGAGGAGGTGTGTCTGAAAGGACAGGGAAAGCAGGCCTCGAGGCAGTGAGAGGTGGGCATCTGGTTTTATCTGCATACATTTCAAAAAGCATCAGGAAGAAATCTTCCAGATAGGAGGACAGACCATAGCTGACATTAATTGGCCAACTAATGAATTGACCAGCAAGCGATTACCAAACACAAGCCATGTGCTCAGCGGGAGGCAGAGTTCCTGAGGCCATTGCACTGACCAGAAGCCTTTCAATAAACACACTGGAGCCTCCACTTTTCATGAAATTGTCAGAGTTCTGGAAGTTTTTATCAAATGGCTTCAGAAATGTTCACATAAATATTTTCTCTTTTTTTTCACATAAATATTTTCTAAAATAACAGTGAACCAACTCACTGATTGGTATCGGAATGTTAATTAAGACGTCGGATGCCGATAATGCTGAACTTATTTCCAATTCAGATTAGTGCTAGTCAAGATAAAGACCAGCTGGTGTTGGTTTAATAATTTATAACCAACCCGCCCTTATCTGCAGAAATCTCCAAGTCAAGTGCTGAGAAGAATCCAGCAGAGCCTGTTGGGAGTGTTGGTATGCCCCCGTGTAAGAGCTGAGGGCGACCAAGTTCACCTGTTGTCCATGTTTTGAGTTTCACAAATATTAGACATAAAGGGAGAGGAAATTAAAAGGAAAAAAAAAAGCAAGCCTCCTCATGCTTTGATTTTAAGTGCTTGTACTCTTAGGACGGCTTTTCTGACTCTAGCTACATAAGAAATCAAAGCAAGTTGCGAGGTTTCTGTCAGCCCCTCTTTTTTTTTCTTTCTTTCTTTTCCTCCCCTTTCCTCCCTCCTTTTTTTCTCTTTCCTAAATCCTCATTCCTCTTTCTCACCCATGGAGCCCTTTAATTTTTTATGTTTTTGCTTTTATGAGCTTATCTAAACAGGGTATTTTTGTTCTGAGTGGGGCGTGTTTAACTCTCCTGAATGGCATCGCAGAGTGCGTGCTGCTCCCTGTTCTCACCGAGGACGGTTTTAAGATGTGCCTGTGTTGTTGTTGTACCATCTAACTGGTCACTCGTCACCGCTGCAGGACGCTCCCTGTCCGCCTCCCATCATGTGACCCACCTGCACTCCTCGGGACAAAGCCCTTCCATTCTCTCCATCTGCAGTGCCAGAGAGCACCAGTGACCAGCCTCCTCTCTGTCTCTTTATGAACAGAATGGTTGGTTTCTTAACTCTGGTGTTCTTTATTGGACTAAGTAGTGCTGGGTTGCTCACAGAAGGGCTGTGCCATCTGCGTTCCCAAGCGTGTGCATTTTCAAGCTTTTGATTTTTTTCTGCTCAGTAGGTATAGAGGGGCCTCCCACTTAATTTGCATATTTCTGATTATTAATGAGTTTGAGCAGGTCTTCATCTGTTGGACTTTGAGTATCCGCTTCTCTAAGTTGCTTTTTTATGTGCTTTTCCCATTGTTCTGCTGGCCTTGCTGCCTTTCGTTTGGCTCATGGTATGGAGTTCCTTATTTGTTACATATATTAACTCTTTTCGGTGTTAAATGTGCAAACAGTTCCCATTCTGTTGTCTTTAACTTTGAACATGAGACCCTTTGTTGTACTGGCATCTTTAACCTATCATTTTTTTGCTGTAAGGTTTTGCTTTTGAATTTTTGTTTAAGAAGACCTACTCAGCTAATAAATTATCTTATATTTTCTTCTATTAATTTACTGTTTTTTCTCAAAAATTTATCTTGGGTTGTTGATCCTTCTGGAGTCCAATTATGTACATGGGTTTGAGTAGGGATCCAGAGTTTTCCCAACATTACCTGGTAATTCAGTCTAGCCAGTCCTCTTTCTTTTTATTGTGTATTAAATTCCCGTATATACCTGTACCTGTCTAAACTACAAGACATGGAAATTTCTAAATTTCTATGCCATTACACCATTCCACTGTTTTGTTCATTAATTTCTTTTACTTTGTGGTATGTCTCAATATCTGATGGGGAATATTTCCTTTTTTTCATCTTCAAAGTTGACTTAGCTCGTCAGAGACTTACAGTACATTTATTGAATTCCTAATAAACTGGAATTTTTAGTGTATTGTATTGACATTATAGATTAGTTTTGGGGGAAATGAGGTCTAATAATTTTATTTAAATTTACAAATTCTTTTCTAAGTATTATTTTAGGGGTGTCTTAAAATGTTCAGTATGCAAAGTTTTCATTGTTGGTCAATTCTAATTTTTAAAAATTTCTGCAAAATTGCATTTAGCTTTCAGGTTATTCCATTCTGTTCTAGAATTAGAAACTTTGGGAGTTTTTATGAAGTGTGGGAGGAAGGAACACTTTTCAGATTTATTTTTGTTTCTTCGTTCCAGTCATGAGTTGGGGGGTGGGAGAGTGATACTAAGGCCCTTGCCCTGGCCCATTTACTGAAGATTATCTTGCTCTAACACATTTGGTCCTGGATAGACGCCGAATCCTCCAGGATGCAGGATGGAGCGTCTGTCCCCATTTACTCAGCCTCTTTTTTTCTCAGGTTCTCAAAATACTTTTCAGGAGGTTAGCGAGGTGGAGGTGGATTAAGGGAACAGACAGACCCTGCCTCAGCAGTTCTCTTGTTTCTGAAACATTGCTTCTCTGCAGTGTGAAGGAAGTTTGCTCGGCTTGTTTTTAAAGACGTTGGCCGATGAGGGATGAGTCACAGCTGCACCCTCCCTCCCTTCCCCCACTCTTTCTCCGCTCTGTGGAGGCTGATCTTCCACCTGTACTTCTGAATGTATCTTTTCATCTATGTATTCTTTCATCAATCATTTAAACTCTTCTCTTATAAAAAATAAAACCTTTCTAGGGTCTATGTTTGCCTTGAAGTTTTACAATATTAGACAAAACAATGCCCCTTCCCTTTCAGTGATTTCTCTCCCGGTTCCCTCCCATCCAGCCTGGGGTCTTTACAGAGCAGTTTGTTAGCACAGCCTTCTCCTTCATCTGTCCAGTGACTCCACTGAAACGCGTGGCCCAAGCCACGTCTCTGAGGGCAGCGAAGCCTTGCCAGATGCTGTTTGTCCTCACTGTTAGCGACTTCCTTCTGGGAACTTTTCTTCCCATGGTTTATCAGCTACCACACACCTTTTTGGTTTATTTTCAAGGACTCTGCTTCACCTATGAAGCAGAAATTTGGGATTAAGCATTTGGTGGGTATATTTCATAATAACTAAGAATAAAGTTTAAAGCTTTGGATCATTTCTTTTTGGTCACTTTGGTTTCAATTTTTTTTTTTTTCTTTTTACTTAAATGTTGATGCTACCTATGTCTTTGTCTGCTTTGGTCTTATCCTGCATGCCTTTTATGTTGTTTTGTGTGTGTGTGTCAGAGTCTCCCTTTTGTCACTCTTGGCAGAGTACCATGGTGTCACAGCTCACAGCAACCTCAAACTCCTGGGCTTAAGCGATTCTCTTTCCTCAGCTTCCCAAGTAGCTGGGATTATAGGTGCCCACCACAACACCTGGCTATTTTCAGAGACGAAGTCTCGCTCTAGCTCTGGCTGGTTTCAAACCTGTGAGCTCAGGCGATCCACACACCTTGGCCTCCCAAGTGCTGGGATGACAGGCATGAGCCACCTCGCCTGACACCTGCATGCCTTTTCTAAATAAATCAATGAATTTTTTTTTTTAAGACCACTTGTATGGGATGACCCCCACCTGTCCCCCGAGAACTGTAAGTCGGACTATCTGCTGGACTGCACACATCCGCACTGCGCTCCCTCCTGCCCCCTGACCTGTTCTCGTCCCCATGTTCTGTGTGTGGCATCACTTGTCCCCCGAGACAGACTCCTGTGAGCCATCTGAAACATTTTCATCTACACTGCCCTCAAGTCTGTCCCCACCTCTGTAGCCTTGATTCAGCCCCTCATCATCTTGCCCCCTGAGCATTACTGTGGGGGCCACTAGGCCCCTGGCTCTCCTTCCTCACCCCTCCTAAGTGCCTTCCGAACCAGAGCCGAGCCGGAGTGACCTTTCTTATGCACGAACACCCCATGTTTCTACCACATTTAAATGCAGGTCTCCGTGACGCCTTTTACTGGCTGAGAACCTAGACAACAGAGTCTGGCTACAGCCTTTATCAGGCTTCCCAGCTTTCCAGCTCAGTGGGACTGCTGTTTCCTTGGAGAACCCAGTCTCTTGCCCGGCTCTGAGCCTCGACTGGCTCTGCTCAGCTCAGCCTGAGGACGTCTCCTCAGCCTCACATGGTCTCTCTTGCTTGCCCAGACAGTGGTCCAGGGTTGCTTCTCCTGTGAATTCTTCTGTGACCCTTTCTACCTCTTACCCCACACACATCTTTTTGACTTTTCATTTTGCCTATACAGATCAATTGCAATGATATATTTACTATTTCTAACATTGTCCATTTCTTTTCCTTCTATTAATAAGCTACTTAAAGAAAAGACCAAGTTGATTTGATTTTGTGTCTCTACTGCCTGGCCAAGACCGAACCTAGACCTTAATAAATGTTTTGGGGAAGTAAATGAATAAGCAGAAAAGACCCTATAAGATTGTATAAAAGTCAACAATGTCAACGTAATTCCAGTACATGTCCTTGCATAGTAAAACCCTGACTTTCTGAATTCTTCCTCCAAGATAAGGGATAAAATATTTGGTACATACTTATATGAAGAAATTATTCATTATTTATCGGACATTCAAATTTAGCTGAGCGTGTGATTTTTGTATTTAATAAATCTGGCAAGCCTACCTTCAAGGGCATTTTAACTTTAAATTCCTCCTAAGTTGGTTACACTGATGGTTATACCTCTGAGTATTTGTTATGCTTGGCTCAATGATGAATTCTTCAGTTCTCCTTCAACTGTGAAGCACAGAGTCCTTCAAAATGTTGGGATCAAGCATTTGGTGGGATCTCACCCAATGTGCATAATCCATGGGTATATTTCAAAATACCTAAGAGTACATTTTAAGTGTCTTACCACAAAAAATGAGAAAGTAAGGTGGTCGCTATATTTATCAGTTTGATTTAAGCATTCCACACTGTCTGTCAAATCATCACATTGTACCTCACAGATGTATACAGTTATGATTTAATTAAAAATTAATTTAAAAAGAAAAGAAAAAGAATTATTGAGATCAGGGAGACAGGACCCTGCTGAGCAGCCAGGGAATGGGATTGCTGCGTCCACAATGGTCTGCGTCCACAGATGGGCTTTGCCGCCTCTTCTGCTCACTATCACATTTCTCTGATGGGTTTTCCTTCCCCTTAGCTTGTGACCACACCTGTAAGACTTGTGGCCCGAACAGTCCCAGATGTCTCACCTGTGCTGAGAAGATGGTGCTGCACGCTGGGACATGCATTTCTGAATGTCCCAGTGGGTACTACGCTGATGCCACTGACAGATGCAGAGGTAAGAGATGGGCCACCGTCCTTGTCATCCAGAAGTCTCCAGTACACATTTGACTATACCTGGTGCTGAGTGCTGTTCACTTGGGAATTTGCGTTTGTGATGGCAAAATGTTTCTTTCAAAGGGATACCCTTGTCGTTATAGAACCTGTGTGTACTTGATATGGGAGTTGGAGATACAGGTGAATGCTGGGGGATTAGGATGATTAAATGAAGGACTTACATGTATCAGTCAATCATCATTAGAGGTCATTTCATATTTTTGAAATGCCAGGGGCATCTTTATCATACAGTCCTGTATAGTTACAAACCATTACTGACTTAAATTGTAGGTATGATAAATACCATTTCTTTCTTTCTTTCTTTTGTTTTCTTTCTGTTTAAGATAGAGTCTCTCTCACCTAGGCTGGGTGCTGTGGCACAATCATAGCTCACTGTAACCTTGAACTCCTGGGGCTCAAATAGTCCTCCGGCCTCAGCCTCCTGAGTAGCTGGGAATACAGAAATACACCACCATGCCTGGCTAACTTTTAAATTTTATGAGGAGATGGAATCTCACTGTGTTGTCCAGGTTGGTCTCAAACTCCTAACCTAAAGCAGTCTTCCTGCCTCAGCCTCCCAGGCGGGAGCCATTGTGCCCAGCGTAGAATCATTCCTTACGTGGTATTTATAAATTCATATGTTGGCAACTATAGCACACAAAAATAAAATAAAGACTTAAACCAATTTCAACAGCTAGTAAAGCTGGTCTCTATCCACTGAAATTTGTTTTTATGTGCTATTTATTTATTGTTTCTTTCAGACTTATACAACCTAAACTATGAAACATTCTCATTTGAGATCTTATAAATATCCAATTTGTATGCAGCCAACTTGTGTTTTTCCTACAAGTAACTCTGAGAGCTTCTTTCTACCTAGGACACCTTGATCTCCCTTCTTGCCTGAAACACACACGTGTCCTCATGCTGCCCGGTGTCTGCTGGAGGATGTTTAGACCTAACCCACCACACCTCTCCTTATCAGCCTCTTCTGTGCCTGTCCCCTCTCTGCTCACCCTGTGTTTATCCCTTTCCCTCAGTGTCCTGCCCCCAGCCAAGGTTCCCACCCTACCACCACCTCCCACGGCTCTGACCATTGTCCTGTAGCACCTTCTTTCTGTACATCGTCACCCCTCTCCCCAGCCCGCTAAAGGCTCACCCAGGCCATGCCACCGTCTGTCTTTCAGAGTTAGAGAGGCCCTTCTGTTAACACCAGGGCCAACACAGAGGACACACATTCCTGATACTGTCATGTGCTGTGGTCAGATTTGTGATCTTACTTAGAATCCTAGCGTGTCCCAGCTGTTAGTATCTTTAGTGATCATTTCGTCCAGCCTCTCGCTATACTTGTGCCAAGGGAAGTAGGTCTGGAGAGACCTGGGCTTAGTGAAGGGCATCGATAAGTTAGTAGGCAGGCCGGCCAAGATGCAGGTGCCCCTGGCTTCCAGAACCACGGACTTCCCACTCTCCTCCATGCAGTGTGAGTTTAGGGCCAGCAGACCCAAGCTAAACCCCTGCCCTGCTGGTGAGTGAGCTCTGTGATCTTGGGTAGATTTTTTAACCTCTCAAAACCCCAGTCTCCTCATCTGTAACACGAAGTTAGAATGCCTACCTCATGATGTTGTTATGAGAATTACAAGTATTAATGTACAAAGCACTTAAGGCAAACACTGAAGAAAGGGGAACAAATAATAATAGGCGGGCCCAGGCACAGAAGCTCACGCCTGTAGGAAGAGGCAGGAGGATGGCTTGAGGTCAGGGGTTCGAGACCAGTCTGAGCAAGACTGCAACTCCCTCTGTACCGAAAAGGAGAAAAACCAGCCTGAAGTCATGGCAAGAGCCTGTAGTGCCAGTTATGTGGGAGACTGAGGCAGAAGGGTCGCTTCAGCCCAGGAATGTGAGGTTGCTGTGATTATGCCACTGTGCTCCAGCCTGGGGGACAAAGCAGGACTCTGTCTCAAAAAACAAAACAAACAGGCAAAAATAACAGGTGGGACATGGATGACAGACGGGTGAAGAGGGGTATGAGTGGTTCTGGCAGCGTCACCACCTCCTAACTCGACTCTTCCCAGTGGTTTGGTGTGACGTCTGTTGGGGGCCAAGAGTGTTGCAGAGAGGGCTTCCAGGCTCACAGTGGGCCTTGTAGTCCCCTCTGTCCCACGGGGCTCCCTCTCGCTCTCTCTCCCAGGCTGTCACAGCTCATGTGCCAGCTGCTCTGGGCCCACTGCATCTCAGTGCACAGCCTGCACCGCCCCCCACGCTCTGCGCCACGGCCGCTGTCTGCCCCACTGTGGAGAGGGCCTCTACCCCGACCACGGCGTCTGTAAAGGTATTGCTGGTATCATCGGCATTCGTGAGAGACTGTCCCATCCCAGGGATATAGATTGACTTTTTTACCATCAATGCTACTATCCAGGACAATTCTTCTGCTAGCACACCTTATGTGGTTATATATGCATAATATGCAATTTTCATTACAAACCTTTTGTGAAGGGATAATTTGAACAAAATCACATCTGAAAATGTGTGTGATCACTCCCATGTTGGCGGTTTCTCCTAGCTGTTCTATGGCACATGTTATTTCCTTTAGCGGATACTAAACCCAGACGGAGTGCTCAGTCCCCTTTCCCTGCTCTCCTCCCGTGGCTATTGTTTGGCTCAGACTTCATTTTGTTTTCCCTGCAGAATTTCTTTTTGTTAATGACGCTGCTGAACACACTGAGAGTCAGGAGCGATGCCTCTCGGCTGAGCGAAATGGAAAATCTTAAATAACTACTTGCCAAGAAGGCTCTGGGTTCATTGGGAGGGCGATATCACTCCAGCATTTTGAAACCAGAACATTGGGAGCCAACATTTTAATTAAGTGAAATTAATTTATATTTATTTGTATATAGGGCACCTTAGAACAGAGTTTGAGAGCAGTTATAAGAAGAGTGGATTTAAAACAGGAACGCTGCAATGAATATTTTGAAAGAGAAAATTTAGAGCATATTTTAAGCAACAGGATAGTTATCTGTGTCAAAATGCGGGTATGAAATAGTTCAAGTACTGTTTTTGGCTTTGATTTTCAACAGTAGCCAAGAACAAAATATGGATGGATTATAAAATTTTCACTGCTGCTCAAAGGGGGCCTCTTCCTTGTCTAGAAAAGCCCAAGTAAATTGTAAGTGGAATTTGTTGCCTGGACCCCTAAGTACTCCGTGATGGATGACTAATGGATAATAACACAACCATTTTTGCCAAAGATACAGTAATGGCCTTCGTACAAATGCTTCTAAAAACCTTCAATAAAAACTGAGGGCATAATGTTAAATCGTCATTCAGCAACTGCGTTTTTCTGGAGAACTGAGCCAATATTCTCCCGCTTGCTGGGGATTCTTTGTGATCTAGCCCCATGGCCCTTCCAGGCCTGAGCATGGGATGGGTTAGCACACTCTCACTTCCCTTTCACAAACATCATCATCACTCAGTGCTAGAAAGATAACACGCTGGCACTTATTTGGTGAACTTTCCTAGGGGTTTGGATTTGACGAGGGGCTCCCTTTAGTCACAATATGCCTCTCATCCTAGATTGTTCTCTGCTTTTTACTCTGTTGGCAGCCTGTCACCCTTCCTGCCTGACCTGTGTGGGCCCCGAGCACACAGACTGTACTGAGTGCAGGAGGCCAGAGGAGGGGCTGCAAGTCCAGCAGCTATCCAGGGCAGGGAGCCCCTCTGGAGAGTGCCTGTCTCAGTGTAGAGCCCACTTCTACTTGGAGAGCTCTGGGCTCTGTGAAGGTAAGTGAACTCGACTTGGTAGCCTCTGGGATTACCTCCTGGGAAATCCAGCAGATGGGACCAAAGCCAGGAGGACCTTTGTTTCCCATGAGGATGGTCCCGGGTGCTGAGGACTAAGCAGGCTGCAGTTCTGCCACACAGGGGCCCCGCCGGTGTGCTCCCACCCCTGCCACACAGGGGCCCCGCCAGTGTGCTCCCACCCCTGCCACACAGGGGCCCCACCGGTGTGCTCCCACCCCGTGTGAATAGCAGAGGGCAGACAGAGCTAGCCGCTCCCCTTAGTCACGTTCTCAGAGGTTCCAGACAGAAACTCCTTCAGAGACCAGGATGGGGAGCTGAGAAAGACCCAGAGCTCACTGTAGAATTTTATTTATTATTTCTTCTAATTTGCTGCTCTGAATGTGAATTGGTCTCTTCTGGGCAAAATCTGGACTTTTGTCAAAATTTTGAAGAGATTCCTGCCATTGTCTTCGCATATCATCTGCAGAGAATTGATGACATCCTGGATAATTGGACTCCTCAGCTGCTTACCTACCAGTGGTTGAGGGGATGACAGGGGAGAGAATAGATCCCAGGACGTGGGGAGGCACCTCTGCTCCTGCAAGGGCTTCCCTGCTGATGGGGAATTGTTTGGCTCTGAAGCTACATGGAAACAAAAGAATTCATTAATTTTATATTTTTCATTGCAAAAAATGTTCATCAAAGGAAATCTTGAATGTAGGAAAAGGTAGGAAAACAATCCACCCACCCCTACGCCCAATTGCCTTTACCATTTTGCTGTAATACCTGAGTCTTTTTTCCTATTCATAGCTCCGAGTGTTTATCTTTGCAACGTAACTATAAGCATTCTACAGATTCAATTTCGTATCCTCTAAGTGCTCTTATTAAAGTGGCTCCAATTTCCACCCTCACATGGTAATGCTGGATTTCGAGGTTAATATGGTATAATAGTAAGAAGTTTCCAGAACTGGAACACAGGGACCCAGGGCCAGACACTTAACCGCTCTGAGCCTTTGCATTCACAGCGTTAGAATACTTTATCTTTCACAAGGGTTTTCACCAGGATCAAAGAGGTTGGGGTGTAAAAGTGGCTGGTAAATTATAAAGCCTCCCTACCCAATGTGTATGAATCTCAGTACATATACTCAGGTGTCAGGGACATGTAGGGTTAGTGCGCTGCTCCCTGGGTGGCGCCAGGCTCCAGGGGGTTTACCGAGTGTCCAGAAACTGGGGGATGGGTGCCACCTCTTCAGACATCCTGGTATCTACCCATATATGCATTGATCAAACTCTCTGCAGCTACTTAAACTCTTGCGGCTGTTTTTATAAGAACTGATGGGATATGGAATCTTCACTGATGCCACAGTGCCCAGTGCTGTCCAGGGGCACATACCACACAGCCTTTTCCTTCTGTGTCCTGGAGGGTGACACAGCTCCTTCCTTAGGGACCCACAGACTCCCAAGCAGGGAGTGTTTTCTCCTCTCTGTTTAATTACTTCTCAGATCCCTCAGTGGGCCGAGGTTTACCAGACAAGCTTCCTCCAGCTACTTCTGCTTTCTGGCAAGCCCCAGATCCCCTAAGGGAGTTAATTACAGTGTCTAGCCCTGCTCTGTGTGGGGAAAGTACAAGGGGGAAAAAAAAAGGAGAAGGAGAAAGTCTAACTTCTTATCTTTGTCTCTGTTTCTCTCTTTTATTTTTGGCCCATGTTGTTACAGAAGTGAGTTTTGATTTGTTGGAACCCATGAAACTAACCTGCATAGTCTAACACAGCCTGGACGGGGTGCCTGAGGTTTTAGTGGGAACCGCAGAGCTATCAGACCTCCAGGAATGCTGGGCTTTCCAAGAATCCAGAGAGATGCTAAGTGAGACCCTTGAATTTTGTGGCCCTTGGGTTGAAACCAGAGGAGCTAGAGAGGCCCCTGGGAAATTCCTCACTGTGGCCTGCTGACTCTGTGATCCAGGGAGAGACCAAGACAGAATCTTCTCAGAACACTCAGGGTGCAGTTAGCTGCTGCTTACCATTTTAAGAACTATATTAAAAATAAAAACTGGGGAATCTGGAGTGGGTTCAGAAGAGAGAAACAAAAATGGTTAACATTTTTAAAGTTAGAATTGTGGCTTGGTGCCTGTGGCTCAAGTGGCTAAGGTGCCAGCCACATACACCTAAGGTGGCAGGTTCGAATCCAGCCCAGACCCGCCAAACAACAATGATGGCTGCAACCAAAAAATAGCCGGGTGTTGTGGTGGGCGCCTGTGGTCCCAGCTATTTGGGAGGCAGAGGCAGGAGACTCACTTGAGCCCTGGAGTTAGAGGTTGCTGTGAGCTGTGATGCCACGGCACTCTACCCAGGGGGACGGCTTGAGGCTCTGTCTCAAAAAAATAAATAAGAGTGGCGCCTGTGGCTCAAGGAGTAGGGCACCAGCCCCATATACCAGAGGCGGCGGGATCAAACCCAGCTCCAGCCAAACCCTGCAATAAATAAATAAATAAATAAATAAAGTTAGAATTGTAAAAAATAAAAATTAGAGTGACTGGGGTTCTTCAGCCCAGAAAATGGCATTGCCATTTGCTTGGCGTGCACCACGGGCTGGGCGCTGTGGAAAGTGCTGCCTTGCTTTGCTGCCTTACTCTCCATTCCTGCCGCAGAGGCGTGGAAGCAGCTTCACAGGAGAAGAAAGTGAGGAAGCCGAGGCTATAACCTGCTCAAAGGCAGGTAGTCAGCGGAGTGGCGTCTGATGGGGACCTAAGTCCCAGGTCTGGTATCTTAGCCATCACAGCGCTGCTGTGTTGCTCCTCAGAAAGGCCGGGCCACCTGCTCAAGGCTGTACAGCATGTGAATGCTGTTGGGTGGGGGCCTTTTGTATTTAAGAAAACATCCTTGATAAAAGAATGTTTTGTGGGAGTCCCTTATACAGGCACCTTTTAAAAAGCTTATAACCTAATCCTGCTGGAATGGTTGATTAATTGTGGTCCCAGGTGAAAGGACTGAATTGACCTCTCGAGTCCCTTCATAACCCCCTGATTTTATGCTCATTAACGTATTATCAGGTATCACACATAAAGCTGTCTACTCACATTCATTAGCAAATCCCCACTCAATCTCCGCCAGGCACGTGGCTGTACTCAACATACCAGTAATGAGAAGGCGGAAGAAAGAGGTTAATTGCGTTGCCCGAGAGTCCACTGGGAGACTGAGCTCAACTACTGATTGTTTCCAACCGTACTGAGTATTAAGTGTGTTGATTGATGCGTTTCCTGTTATTCATCCCATATCTCTCAAACCTTTCTGCCTCCCCACAATCTGTTCCACTTTCAGCTCTGCGGAAGGGTTGTCTATGAATCAGGACTGGGAGTCCTGTGAGATTGCATTAGGCTCTTCTTCCCACATCTTCCCAGAAATATCCTTGGCTTTCTGCAGAACTTTTGAGAAGGTTGGACATTTACATATGTGTGCGTACAAAGGGTTTCTTTTATGGCACCTTTGATCTCAAATGCTTTTCTACAAAGGAAAGGAAAACAACTGTTTTCTGGAACTCTCCGTCTTCCTTTCTTTGAGACTGCAGCAAAGAGTGATTAGAATATTACTGCGGCTAATGAAAGCGAGAGGCAGATGCCTTCTAGGAAGAAGCAATTTACTTAGAGGCTGAAGTGGTGTCAGAAGTTATCATAAAAGTTTTTACTCTGATCTACATGACAAGCCTGGGAGTTAATCCAGTGCAAGATGAAGCAACAATACGCAAGATATTTGATTAAAATTCAAGCCTATGATTGGAGGACAAATTTTATATGTGTATGTTTTAATATATATTTTTTACATATAAAATTTGCCCTCCAATCATAGGCTTGCATTTTAATCAAGTATCTTGAGTATTGTATTGTATATATATGCAGTGATGAAAGGGAACACTGCTTCCTGGGAGCTGGAGGACAGTCTGTCTTTATTCTTTCCTCTGCAAATGTTTACTGAATGTCTCCTGGGTGCTGGTGTTTTTAGGAACCCCCCAGAGCTATACTAGTGACTGAGTCAGATGAAAATTCCTGTTCCTCATGGAACCATATTCTCATTAGAGAAACAGATGATTAATGAATAACAACAGCCACAACAAGACCCATGATGCTCTTGGGTGGTGGACTTTGCTATGAAGCCCACAGCAGGAATGGGGGTGAAAGGAAGGGCCGAGGTGCCCACAGAGCAGAGCCCGGTGAAAGGGGCGGCCAACTGCATGTTTGTCACACGCTTTTGTCTCACTCAGAAACGAGCCGACCACTTCTGAAGACGGAGCTTTGACCTTGAGTCTCTTTTGCTCATAGCCTCTGTGTTTCCAGAGTGTGGCTAGAATTGCTGGTAAAAAAGAGGATTTGGTACTAATTGTAAAAGGTAATTGGGAGGCATTTTCAGTAGGCAACCAAAATTGTGCATGTTTTTAAACAGTAACATTGAGAATTAGCTTAGAGAAGGATTTTGGTAATTTCCTCTAGAGTTGATCCCATCTGTTTAACTAAGTTCTCAGTAAGCACTGACACATTCAAGTATCGTAAAACAAAAAAGTGAAACCCCAACAAACCCAAACCCAAGAAACGCCCATTCTACTAGCCTTCTCTACCCACATGAAACTCTACAAATTGTAAGCAAATTAAGAAGAACTCTAACCATCCAAAGCAACATCAAAAAAGCCTCCACCTGTCACGCATCTGTGGGTTAGTGTGAGCCCAGAGGAGGGGTCCAGACTGCTGCCCAACTCCGAGGGCGCCATCCTCACAGCAACCCCGGCTTCACAGACGGGACAAACACCTGGAACTCTATCTCTTAGAGGCCTTTCCTGCTGATGTTTGGTTCGGGCCAAATTGCTCAACTCAGCCTCAGATTCTCATTCCACTCCAGTTGAAGGGATTTATTCTTTCTTTTAAAGAATTCAATTATTTTGAAGACGGCCTTTAGTTGAGGTTGCTCTATAACAGAGCTTCTCATAAGAATCTTGTTAAAATGCAGATTCAGATT